ATTATATTTAGTACAGCTTCATTAAATAGTACAGTACAGAATTTGAAAAGGTACAGTACGGAGGTTCTATATACCCGCTTAAAGGTATGTAATTTTATGTTTAATCAATAATGTAAAAGTAACTAGAGGATGCAACCTTAATTTTCTTTAGGCACACTACCGATCAATCCTATGTGAGAACTGTATTGAAGAATATGACATACTCAGAAGCAGTCTTAATTCACCAGATAGAGCATCAAGTTCTATCTCAAAACCATTAGATGCCTTGCCACCCCTAACAATTCTAGATGCAATTAATTTTGCTACATACAGCAGCATGGAATCGAGTGACTGTAAGTGTTATTAAGTCATGATGATACTGACTAATGGTCAAATAATTGACTGTGCAATATGCAATATTACACAATAATTTGATGCATAGAGTTTATTCTATGCAACATCAGATGTTGCTTATGTTATATGTTGCTCATCTTTAATATATTGCACCACTCCCAATAATCATATGTGAAAAAAAAACTAAAATGCCAAACTCAGTGACAATATTGGTTATAATTAACACAAAAGATGTCATTAATAAAATAATTCAAGAGGTAGCAGCCTATCAGTGTGAGTGTGATTGCTTTCAGAATGTTACATATAAGTATTTTACAGTACATCTAATGAATATCAGCAAGACTTTAATGTGGGAGACTTCATTCAATTTACTGGGAGGCTAGTATATGAAAACAAACCAAGAATCCAATGTCATGTTTAACTATTGACAATGTGTGTGCAAAAATTGACACTGAATATTAAGTATGATTTGATATTAATATTAATATGCATGAACAGCTGGCTTGATCCTTCAAATGCATGAAATCAATTTTCATCATGAATCACTAATAACATGACAACCAAGAATTTATTATAAGATGTAAACTATTTGTACTCTTCACTAGAATAGTGGCAAGAGTTTATAACTTATTCTCATGGATTTTTGGGTTCACAAAGAGGATGGAATGACGCAATAGATGTTCCAATTTAATTCAGTTAGCATTACATATTAATAGAACAGTGAAATAGAACCAGCAATTATATTGGAGGCAATTCAAATCGATAACTCCCTTATTATTTATTTCATTATTATTATCATTTTCATATATTCTAAAAATAGACTAAGAGATGACATTAACATTGCCAAACAAGAGCCATTTCTGATCTTTATGTGGTAATAGAAGTAATGGAATTCAACTGACTGTCATTAATTAAACAGATAAAAACATATTAATATGGAGAGAAAGCTATGACTAAACATAAAATCCAGACTTTTCTGCCCAGCTCAAGATTCTTTCTAACCTTCATGACTATGATTACTAACTAAAGATTTTAAATTACATCATTTTATTATTATTCTTGGATAAATATAAAGATAAAATTCACTGCAAGTAACAGTCATGTTTTAACAAAGAAAAATAATAAACAAAAAAAAAATTAAATAAACTGATGCTGATGACTATGCTAGTTTCTGCTTCTTTTGATGAATCTTCTAAATAATCCAGTACAGCTTTTGCAGCCTTTGCAGGTTGCATCCATAGGGATATTAATATGCATACCAAGCTTGGTGGTAGATCTGTGCCACATAATTCCAGAACTTTACTAACACAGGCGAATTGTTGTTTCCTTTTATAAACTGTCTTCCAGGTTATTTGCCTACCTAAGTCCTGCATCTGTCTCTCTAGAGAATACATCCCTGTCTCTGCAAACAGACTTGCTGCATGGCATGGCATTAGCAACACCACCCACCCTCTCTGACTGTGCTATAACAAACTTGCATGCATGACTGTTCCAAATTATTTCTCCTACTAACAAATTCATCAGCTAGCTTATTAAGAAACTCACCAACAAGAATGCTACAAAATTCACCTGGAATCTTCAGCACACCAAGGTCCACTACTACTACATTATTTATAATCAGATCATTGTTTGTCAATGTCTCTACATCAATATTATCCAGTGAATGTGCAAGGTATTGTAATTGGTGTGCTGGTGTTGTCTAGTGCAAATATTCCATACATGATAATGAGTCTGAGTTGACAAAGTTCAGTAACATACTGTAATTATTGCCATAAGTGTTTCTTAAAGACTCAATTATTTCATTGAATTTAACTGTTTGTTCTTCAATAAGACTATTAACTCCTATCTCAAATTCCTCCTGTTCATTTCCTGTGTGCTCTCTTGCTCTCATTACAATTTCTCTCATTGACAGAGGCAGTTCAAACTGAAATACCATTCGTAATGTCATGTGTTTAGTTCTTCATATTATGTCAAATATATTATCATACATAAATGTCTTCTCTGCAAAGTCAATATTATTGATCACACTGACATTCCATATATTTTAACTCTCTCCTCTGGTATGACTTGACTTCTTCTTATTCACTCCAGTTTGCTCATATCTTGCAGTGTGTGACATGAAATTTGCAGCACAAAGTATCACATATAAGGAAGACATGTGATTCAGCTTTTGACACAAGAAACTGAGAATGTGTATCAATGCAACATTTAATAAAATGGAAGTCAGGGAGGTTGAAATTTTAACAGCTCTGGTATTTATACTGTCATAATCTTTCAGGGTAATTTGTCATTGTTTTTGTTTCTTACAGACTATATTCCACTTTCTCATTTGCAAGTGTTCAATTATACTGTCCATGAATATTGTAAGTGGTGGAAATCCAGACCTGTACATGTCTAGTGAATCAAGATTTTTTATTTTTTTCCTCATGAATTTCCTCCTTCAACTCTAACTCTTCCAAATCAGCTGTCCCACAGATTCACCTATTTCTTCAGATTTTTTTCAATTGCTTTACTATATACTAGAGATAAAATTGTGTAAAGCTTTAAATTAACATACTTTTTTGCTAATCTAAAAGCAATTTTCACTGCTAATGCACTGGTAATT